TATTAATTGATGAAAATTTTTTGAGAAATTTGCCATCTTCTTGTTATTTAATATTATTTTTGAACATCTGGGTAATAGAATTTATTCAATTTTAATTTAATCTTCTTTTAATTTACAATTTCATGGTAATTATTTTGTCGAGATAAATCAATAAAAATTTGGAAAGTAAATATTATTTAAGATCAATCAAACAATCTTTACTTTTTGTGCAAAAATATTAGAGGTTTAGTTTCGTTAAGCTTAAATTATTTACAATCTAGATTACTTTTTTATAAGGAATATAATAACTAAATCCTCATTTTAGTAAAAAAGGATTAAAATTAATTTGAAAACAAATAAGTTGTTATTGTTCAATGACTTAATATATTGAAGGAGTTACGGAAGCAAATATTTCAAAAATTATTCCTGATTTAAATTCAATGACTTTAATTAAGAATTAGTAATATAAGTATTATTTCAAACTCCAATTTAATTAACTCTAGACTTGTAAATTAATTTTTCGATCCTTTAATATAAATAAAAACGTCTTAAGCATAAAAATTGAAAATAAATGAATCATAATCATAAGATTACTTTCATAAACTTCCTGCTAATAAATTGCTAAATTATTACTTAATAAAATAAAATAAGTTTATAAGATAACGCTTAATTAATGTGAAGATATAACCAATTTATCAATATAAAATCAAATCAAATCTTGTGTAAAAACAGCTTATATTGGCAGAGTCTTCCATTTGGAAGAGGAATTTAAATAATTAATTGAAGAAGAAATCCTATTTATTGAATATTAAAAGTTACAAAAATGAAATTATGCTGGGAAAGATATTGGTTAACTTTGATGTTAATATTAAAAATCAGATCAAATATAAGTGTCAATAGAATTTAGCTTTTTTAACCTAAGTTTCTTTTTAATAATTAAAAGCAATAAATGATTTATAAACTTCTTCAAAAATAAATCTTTTTATGATACACCCTTTTTAAACAGCTATTTGATTATCTTATAGAAAAATACGCAATACAAATTCTAAATTTGGAAGATTAGTGGTTTATTATTATTTGAATTCTTAAGTTGAAACTTCTATAGATTCTCTATTGATTTATTAAAATTTTTGCGGAAAGTTAAGTTGTTTAATTTTTTAAAGTTCTATAAACTATCAAACACTTTAGACTTTAGAGAAGAGAAAAAATTTTTAAATCTGGCTTATGATTTAAAGTTATCTAAATATCAAAATATCTGAATATTTAAAAAAAAATACAAATTTGAATTTTTAGTCACAATCATTAACACAGCAGTAAATTATGTGTGTATGTATAATTTTGGAAATGATGGTATAGCCCATTTTTTATCATAATTAAGTGCAGATTATTTAAACCTAAAACTAATAAAATAAATTGCTATACTTGCTTATTTATTTGAACACTCTAATCAAATCATCATTATTTAAACATAATAAAAGTTCAGTACGTTGTTTTTGTCAATCTAATCACAATGCAATATATTCCTTCAAATTTTTGATCATAAATACAATATCTATCATATAAAATTTACTTATTATTGTTATTTTTTTATTTTTGGATAAAATATTGAAAATTTTAAATGTAGATACAATTTTCTAATTTGATCTTAAGTTTTCAGAGTTAAATACAAGTATAAATTCAGTAGTCATGCTTAGAATATGTAATATAATAAAGATAGTATTACTTCATAAATATATGTATATTTATGTGATATAAATGATAAAAATATTCTAAATTAATAAGAAGGTATTCGACCATAAATCAAAGATATAGACATCCGAAAATTAGAAATCTCTTACTTTGACTGGTTTTTGTTTGAAAATTGCAGTTAATTGGGAATTTTAAAATTCATTTTCGAGTTATTAGTTGTGTGTTAATAAATTAAATTAAAAATTAATAATTCAAAAATAATAAATATCATTCCTTTATTAAATTATAAGACAATGATTCAGCTTTGAACTTAGTTATGATAGAATATTTCGCTAAAATATAATTAATTAATTGCTAATATATCCAAAATTATATCTCATAAAGTTAAAATAGTTTAATACAACAAAAAAATATAGTAAATTCGATTTTGATTACAAATAATAGAATGTTAGAGGATTTTCTTAAGCATATAAATTTGGGAATTTACTTCTAAGTAATTAGCAATTAATTTAATTTAACACTATTTCTCAATCCGATAAGTCAAATTAAATAATATAACTTTATAAGATAGTTTTTCTATATAAGCAGGATGTTTTTAAGATTACTTTAAAAAATTAAGGAGAAATATAATATATGAAATTCTGCATTTCAAATATCAAAACAGAAATTTTAGAAGAACCATCTTATTCTTATGGGGCTGCTTTTAAATGCAGGCATTTTATTACAGATGGAGTAATTTTAATTTTAGATTTCAGGTAGACCTTATCTCATTTTAGGCCATATAATTTACTAAAGAAAACTAAAAATTATATATTTAAAATCTGACAATTAAATTATTATATACGTATATTATTAATTTATATAGATTTTAAAAATTTCATTTTAGCTAAAGTTTATAAATAAAAAATATACCTCCATCAAAATATATTAATAAACTGCCAGCATGAGCTAAAGTTCCACAAGTATTTGGTATTTTACAATCAATCCCTTCAGTTTTTTCAAGCTATCCTTGGTAATTCTATTTCATAATCCATATTTTTTATTTCTATTTGATTATTAGGATATTTTTATCTGTATTTTATATTATATCAAATAAATGAAAATCGATTGTTATTTATTTTCATTTAATTTTATCTTCGTTTCTTGCTCCATAAATTAATGATAATTATTCAAATATATATATAGAATCTAAACCTAGCTTTTCTCCAGTAACCTATATGAAACATTTCTCATTTAAAAACTAATTCTTAATCCTAATTCATTAGTTATTTTAATATTATTAAAAATTTTAATTAAAATTTAAATTAAACACTTTTATTTATTTAATTATTATATAAATTTATTTATTCTTACCAGTATATGCTAAAATAATTTCAGATAGGCTTCAAGCTAAACCTTTATCTTAAGTGTCAGCTTGAATTGTTTTAATCTTTTCGAACTCATATGATTAACAATTAATTTTCCATATTATTATTAGTTATTCTGAACTTCCACTAACAAGTAAATTTTCTTCTTTATTTAATATCATACAATTTATCTCTCATATTTTAACCAATATTAATTAATTAACTCAATATAAATTGTGAATATAAGGAAGATCAAAAACATGGAAATTGGATTAAAATAGGAAAAACAATTGTTAAATAATCTATATGAAGAATAAACAATTATGTATTTTAAATATTAAATTCAAAAGGAGGAGGAAATTATGATAATAAAGGATAAAAAGTATGAATATAGAGATACTTAAATAAAGAAATTTTGTATTTATTGAAAATGTTATCAATTGGGAAATATTATATAGAAATGTTATTAAAAAAGAATTTGATTCAGAAAATCTGATTTTTATTTTAAATCAATGTATATTAAATAGTAATGATACTCATAGGAAGAAATTAATTATTTGATATTGAAAATTTTCCAAATATGCCCAATAAATTCTTAAAACACAATTTTAACTTTAGCAAATCGAATGATCTAGTAAATTAACATAATTTATATTAAATAATTAAAATTGGATTCTATATATATGGAGAGAAAAAATAAGGCTTATGGAAAATAATTTATGACAATATAAAACTTTAATTTTAACATCAATCAGTAGTGGAGGAGTCTTATATAATTAGAATGGAAGAAACGAGGGGTTTTGGAGAAAATTATATAAATTAATAGGACCGTATAATAATTTTAATAAAAATAAAGTCAAATTTTTGTAGTTCTTGAAGAATAATATAATGATGGCAAAAAATAAGATTAATGGAATTATGTATGGATTGAACCTTTGAATAGAAATAATTATGTATGATATTTAGAAATGTTTTAGAGGTGGTAGGAATTATAACATTGAAGAGTAAAAATAAGGTTAATGGAAGACTTTAAACAAAAAATTTACAGAGTATATATAACTTTAAGGTTTAGAGATTTCTAACTTATTTATACTGGACTTTATTGTAGTGGTATTAAACAAGGTTAGTGGGATATTTATTTTAGAAGAAATCAAAAAGCAAGCTTAAAAAGACTGTTTAAAATTATATATTTAAATTTTTAGTGGAGGAGGGCTTTATGAAAATGGAGCGAAAATTTAAAAATGGTCAAATAATTTTTCAGAGTTTACCTAAATAATATTTAAAAAATTGTAAAATTTTAGTTTGTGGAAGTTATAATTGGGGTATAAAATAAAGAGAATGGTTATACGAATAGATTAAGAATCATTTTAAGGATAAAATAAATATTGTAATTTATCTTAATAATTTATAAGACCAGGAGGAAACTAAAATAATTATGGTTAGAAAGTGGAAAATTGGATAGAATTACATGAAGATTATCACGAGCAAGTGTTAAATTTTTAGAATTTGAAATTGATTAAGAAATGGATAACAAAATATAGATATATTGAAAATGATTAATTTGAGATATTGTAATTATTAATACTTATTAATAATTTAGAGGATGAGGTGAATATGATTTAAATGGATTAAAATAAGGTTAGTGGTATGATTTAATTAAGCATTTTTTTTTTTCTTAATGGAAATTATTCTGTAAATAGATTATAAGGTTAATTTAAAATGCAATATTGGGGTACATTGGAATCTAATTCAGAGTTTGAGAATTAATGTAATTATAACAAAAAAAAAATCTAGAGGACAAGGATTTATATAAAAAGGGAAGAAAGAGGGATATTTCATAGAAGTAGGGAATAATTTTAGTGAGTATTACAATATTCAATTTAAGGATCTGTTAAATTTGATTTAAAGGTAATTATGAGGAAGATTTAAAAGAAGGAAAATGAGAAATATTATTTCGAAATTCAAAAATTAAAGTTTCTTTTAAATGTATTATATAATACTTTAAATTTATAGGAGGAGGTATTTTTTAAAAAAGGGACAAAAATAAATTAATGGATAGATGTAATTAATTAATGTACATCAAGAGAGAGATCGAGAGAATAATAATAATGTATTTTAAGAGTTTATAATTAAAAGAGAGCAAAATTAATACAATTAGTAAGGAAAAAGGCATGATTTCTGGTGTGAATTTGTAATAAAGGATTTAAGTAAGTTTAATTTACTTACTTACTTTTAGAAATTTGATAATGAATATAAGAGGAATCATGAAGATGATAAAAAGGTCACAAATTGGGTTTCCTTATATCACAATACACAATAACCAAACTTTATGAAAAGAAGTGTAATTAAAAAATGAAATAATATAGAGGAAATTTTCATTTAGATGATGAGGATTTGAAAGATGGAGATTCAATTAATCTAGATCATAATTTTATTTTGTAATAATAGAAGGAACAAATTTATTTATAGTGGAAAATATTCTCATGGGTATAAGGAAAGGTATATTTAAAGATAGTTTTGTTTAAATCTGAGAAATGGTGTTTCAAATTTAATAAACTATTGTTATTTTTTTTTCATTCTCAAAGCCTTGATAAGATAATTTAGACATCTAAATAAATTAATGGTATTTTTTGTACTATGCTGTTCCATCTGTCAGCTGGTAATTCATCCTGAATGCTAATTTCCATTTAATTATTCATTATTAAATTAAATTTTCCTGATTGTTAAATTTTCATTTTCAACATTTTATTAAATGATAAAATCAATCTTTAAAGAATAATTTAAGATTAAGATCTTAATTTTTCATTATTCTTGGTTTCTTGATTCTAATTAGTTATCAATTTAATTATTTATATGGTTTAAGAATAATTTTAATACGTTCTAAACAATAAACAATACAACAATAAGTTTTCGCATTTTTTACTATTAATAGATTCATTGAGCCTGATTTGATACTTGAAATATTGATTACACTTTAATTAAAATAAAATATAAATTTCAAAATCACATTGACATTTTTTAAGTAATTTATTTCATTTGTTTTTCAATTTGATTTTTATTATGTCATATTAAAGTTTAAATTTCAAAAATTTTTAGGATATTAACTGAAATAATGAATATGAAAAAATTAAATAATAATTAATTTAGAACATAAATTTTAGATAAAACAAATATCTGAAATGTTTTCTTCAGTAAAATATAGGCTCTAATTATTTTTCAGGTTTTCTTATTGCATCTCTAATAACATTGATCAACTTCTTAATTTACTACATAATATCAAGAAGAAAAGTTATAGCTAAAATCGAGGAAAAAGTAAAAATATGTAACCACCCCAAAATAATGACTGATTCTGAATCAATTTCTAATTCAATTTTGTAAAGGTATATTAGAAATGACAACACATTAAAAATAATGATTATCTCAGTAGTTACAATTTTTATATATTCATTTTGATTGTCTAAAGGTTTATTCAGAATATTATGCATCAGAAAAATTGTTTATAAAATTGATATTGCAATAACTTGAATATATCCATTCTCTTACAGAAATACTACTAAGGATATAAATATTAATTTCTTAATCATTTAAATGGAGTTGTATTAAAAAGTCCAAATATTTTAATTTTTATTTATGCCATCAAATACAGCTTCGTATTGTGATTTATTTTTTATAGAAGTATTTTTTGAAAATACACTTGAAATGTTAATTAAATAGAGAATAGATAAAATGATACCAACATACATAAGAAATGAAAAATAATAATTGACAATTAATACAGGATTATCATCAGTTGGATAATTTGCTAATTGGATACAACACGCAAAACTTATATCGTATGAGTTTGATAATAAAATTCTTAAAAGTGCATTATAATAAAACTCAGACATCTTACGTTTTAGTAGAGATCTAGCTTTTATAATATATTTTCCAACAGTATAGCCTAATTTAACTATTTCTTTTTATTGAATCTTTCTTAGCAAGAAATACAACATCTTTGCCGAAAAAAAGCTTAAGTATGTAGATAAAATGCAGAATAAAAAGCTTTAAAAATTGGTAAAGAAATATGCATTAACATCATCTTTTAGGAACTTGCTTTTTGTTTTAACAAAATATTATTCTTCTCCATCTAAAGAATTGAATAGTGTTTCGAATCCTGATGCTGATATTAAAGGAGATATTGTTATTATTTTGAATAATTCAAAATATATATCCAGATTAGGTGAAAATTGAATATTTATATATTTAACATAGGATAAATATTGTAATTGATCCATTAGATTCCAGAAGATATCTGATTAACCAGTCAATAAGCAAATTGAAGATAAGCTCATGAGTGAAATAATAATTCCTTCATTAAAACTAGAAGCTTACTATGCTATATCTATTTAGGATTATGCTAAAACTATTGGAGTTTAAAGCTTTATCCTGCCTTGTTTTTTGGAAAGAGGTTAGTTTAATTCAGATAAGATAGGATCATCAATAAATTCTATTTAAAATACAGGATTTTCGATAGGAGATAGAAAAGTGACCCTATATTCAAGAATTAAATCTATCACTTAGTCATGAATAATTTCAATTTCTTTTGTAAATTCAATTTTATAATCATCATCTTCAAAATCAAGAAGACGAGCTTGGACATGTGTATTTAAATTATTTTTTATAATTGATGAGAATTTGACTTATTGAGTAAATATTATTTAGATGTCACAAAATTCTTATGGATGAGTTGTAAGAGCAATTATGGAAAAATCTGGTTATTTTTCATATGTGCAAACAGAAAATGTATTTTAGTTACTAATACAAATCCAATCTTTTTCAATTTAACATTTTGAATTACAACCATCACCATTTTCTATATTACCATCATCACATTACTCAAATAATTTAAGATTAAATCCATCTCCACATTTAGGTTAACATAAATGGTCAAATAGATGCATTCCTTCTGGACATTCTTTACAAATTCCTTCTTCGCAATCAATACAATATTCATCACACATAAATTTACATTCATAACATCCATCCTTTTCAATAGAATTCATATCATCACATTATTCATATCCAACAACAAGACCATCACCACAATAAGGTGTACATTAAAAATCTTATATAATCCAACCTAATTAATTACACTCATAACATATTCCTAATTCACATAATGTGCATAGTTATTCACATTAAAATTCACAATAATGACAACCATCATATGGTGTTTCATTACCATCATCACATTATTCATATGGATCAATAGTAACACCATCTCCACAAAAAGTAGAACATAAATTATTTAAATTAAGAATCCATCCTGGTTTAATACATGCTTAACAAACTCCCAATACACAATCAGTGCATTATTCTTAACATTAAAATTTACACTCGTAGCATCCATCATGAGGAATAAGATTCCCATCATCACATTCCTCTCTACCTAAAACTAATTTATCTCCACATACTGTAGTACATCTATTAATATTTAATTACCATCCTTCTGTATTGCATTCTCTACATTCACCTTTTTCACAATGAGTGCATTATTCTTAACATTAAAAATAACAATCTATACAACCATCGTCATTTATGTCATTTCCATCATCACACTATTCATCTCCTACTATTAATAAATCACCACAAATAGGCTAACAATTCATATCAATCAGGTTTAATTACCAACCTTTTGGGACACATTCAAAGCATTAACCATCAACACAATTAATACATTATTCTTAACATATTAATTTACAATTAACGCATTCTTAATATTATAATAAATTAGCATCATCACATTATTCATCATATGTAACGATTCCATCTCCGCATATACTTTAACATATATTTTTAGATTAATCTAATTAATAACCCATTTAACATTAAGAACATACACCTAAATGGCAAGTTTGACAATAATAATTGCATGAAAATTCACATAAATAACAACCATCATATGGAATATTGTTAGCATCGTCACATTATTCATAATGTGATAAATAACCATCACCACATAAAGATATACATTAATTATTAAGAGTATTAAGTAAAGTAGATTCGTTATTACATTATAAACATTATCCTTAATAGCAATACTCACAATATTCAGGACAATCAAATTAACCATTAAAACAACCATCTTCTGCTATTAAATTCTGATCATCACATTGTTCGTTCCCTAAAATCTACCCATCATTTAAGATTTCATAACATTTACCATCTAGATACTAATATCCTTATAAACATTCGATACATTTTCCAAAATCACAAATATTACATTATTTCTAACATTAATATTTTGAAAGATAACAACCATCATACATAAGTGAATTGTTATCATCACATTGTTCATCTCCAACAATTTGAGAATCTCCTGTTGATGAATAACATTTCTAATCTAAATTTAAAAACCACCCTATTTTGCATTTTAAGCAGTTACCCTTATTGCAAATTAAACAAGAGTCTTAGCAATCAAATTTACATTAGAAACAATTCTAATCAATCAAATCATCACATTCTTCGTAATTTTATATAGTAATTCCGTCTCCACAGACAGTTTCACATTTATGATATAATTAATTCAATACCCACCCAGAAGAATGACATTCTAAACATCCAATTGTACTACATAAAGTACAAGATGGTTAACAACTTAATTAGCATTAATAGCAGCCATCATTTAATAGATTATTTCCATCTTCACATGTACTTTCTTATTTTACAATAATACCATTTTAACACTCTCTAACACATTTCTAGATTGATTACTCCAATTTATATCCTTCAATACATTTAATACAGATTCCCCTATAACAATTTAAACAGTTCATATCACATGTTATTTAACATTAATTACATACACTTCTAATAGTATTATTATCACATTCTTCATTTTGTAAAACAAGAATATTATCTCCACAAATACTTTAGCATGATCCATCATTTTGTAGGTACCAACCGATTGATTCATTACATTTTTAACATATACCAAATTGACAATCTATACAATATTCTGAACATTAAAATTTACAATTGAAACAACCATCAAAAGGTGCTATATTTCCATCTTCACATTATTCAGGAAATACTAATTATCCATCTTAACAAATTGGAACACATTTATTCTCTATTAGATAATAACCATTTTAACAAGTCATACATATAGAGTTAATACAAGTTTAACAAAATATATCGCAGGAGAATTTACAATAACTACATCCATCTTCTTAATTAGTATTTCCATCATCACACATTTCGGTTAGAGTAGTAACTATTCCATCTCCGCAAATAGAATTGCAGGTTCCATCAATTTAAGCATACCATCCTTTATTTTCATCACATAAAGAACATCTACCAAAATGACAATCAACACAGTTTAAAGAACATTCATACTAACAATTAACACAGTTTCTTGAGTTTTCTGTACATTATTAAATTAATGTTAATTAATTTCCTTAACAAATTGAACGACAATCATTATTATGGACTTCATATCCACTTTTACACTAATAACATTTTCCATCCAAACAAATATCACATGCAAAATTACAAGCAAATTTACAATTATGACAACCATCAAATGGATTATTATTACCATCATCACAATCTTCTTGTTCTACTACTATTAAATCACCACAAAGTGGAAGACATGGTAAATTAACTCCATCATCATAATATCCAGGTAAACATAAACATTGATTTCTTTTTATTCCCCTATGATGATCTTAAATGCAAGTTAAACAATTATTGTTAGAACTACCATAACAATTTTCACAATATTTATTGCATTTTAAGCAATCATCTCCTTATAAATATGTAAATGGATTACACAAGCATATTCCATTTAATAATTAAAATTTATTATTTTTACATTAAGTACATTCATTTAAACTAATACATGTATAACATCCTGGCTATGTACAATCCTTACAATTATAAACTTGAGTTATAGAATTAAAATCCAAATATTAGGTAATTGCACAATTAGGACCAGAATAACCTCCATTGCATGTAGTTAAACTTGTGCAACCCAAACAAAAAGGAGGACACTAATATAAATTAATAATAATACATAATGAACAACAATGAAATAGTCTGATATTGCACAGAATTCTTTTGTTATATTTGTAGGTGTAGTCTCACATAAAAATTCAACATATAATACGTTATCATAAAAATTAGTTAAACTTACATTAAAATAACGAGTGCTTTCAAGACCAGTACGACCAATTAAATTTGATCCACCTCCAGGATTATTAAATGATGCTGAATATGCATTGCTTGATAAACCTACCTTATACTTAAAATTTCCAGTGTAACCATCACCATAAGTTAAATTAAAATATATCGATACCGCATAATGAGGGTTTTATATATTCCATCTCTTAATGTATGCTCCATTATTCCAAACCAATAAACCCCCTAATACTATTTTATTATTTAAAAATGAAAATTTTTATCTGGTTGATAAACTTTAAGATATCTCTGTGGTTGAATCATAAAAGTCTTCTATTTCATCATAAGTCATGTTTAAATTATAAAATCCTTTGGCCAAATATCTTGAATCTAAAAAATATATTGTATTTAATTTTACATGGAATTAAATCTTCATAATCTATACAATTTGATGAATAAACTGGACAAGTTTGAACACACTAATTTTTATATAAATTATATCCTGAATTACATTATGAACAAGTAGAAAAACCAGAGCAAACTAAACAATTTTCTTAACAAAATCCAGAGTCAATAGTAATATTTCTCAATCCCCAAGATTCACTTTCTTATTAAAGTTATCCTTAAATTTAAATAGCAGGATAAGAATTAAAGAGTTAAAATGTCATCTCTACTCTTAACAAAGTATAACTAGAACCACAATTTTCATCTTTCTCAAAAATTTTGAATAAATTTTCAACTTAAAAACCTGTTGCATTTTTTATAATTCTTGATTGTAATTGATTATTGTGTAAAATTTAAATTTCACTTGTTTATTAAAGATTAAAAAAATAAAATGTTATACGAATCCTAATAAATTTAACTTAATTTTCTAAGCTCATTTAATAAAGCATTCCTTCACTATATTAAAGCTTTCCTATAAAACTTTTTCCATTACAATTTTCAAATACTAAATCAGTGTTTTTAGGGTGAAATTCATCATTTCTAAAAGCTAATGGTAAATATCTTTTATCTTATTGAGGAATCCCATCATCTTAAAATAGTGTAAATTTTGATTTTATTCGAGTATCTTCTACACAAATTTTATCATAACGAGCAATAGAATTATCTCGATTACATTCTTATCTACAACCTATAAAAGTTTCTGAGAATTATTATGAATCTATGCATTTACATTCTCCAAATTATACACTTTAACTATCATAACAACTTAAACAATCCGATTCAGTAGGACCATTACAAGTTAAACAAGTTGGATGACAAACTTTAATATAAACCAACAAGTTTCTAATTCCGACTTATATATAATCATCATTGCAACTTTAATCACTGGATTAATGATCCCAATCGCAGCCATCTCTACATCTATGATCATAAGGATCGAAACAAATTTTTATTGTGAAGTTATTTGAGTTCGATTATACATAATTACTTACAATCGTTTCTAATTTAAATTTGGAGTTTGGGCTGTTATGACAAATTAGATTGCTGTTCTAGTTTAAAACACTCTGATCATAATCTATTATATAAAGTTGCATGTCATTATTTGAATTTCTGTTGCTATCATAGGCAACTCTTAATTCTGAGTTCCTACTTATAGCACCATCGAAAAATGCATCAAAAATTATTTAAACTTGATAACTTTTATACCTGAAAGACTTTTATAAATATCTCATCTATTTTTTCAGTCTCACATATTCTAATTAATTTGAACTACAAACATTTCTCTCAATATTATCATTCAAATTATGGCTGGAACAACATTCATTCATTTTCCATTAGTTTTGAGAAATTTACTTATCAGTAAAGCTAAAGTCAATGAGTCTCCAGCTTCCACTAACTAATTGACTTAGAACTATTGACATTATATAGACATAAATATTAGTAATCATAAAATAAGGATTATTGTAATAAAAATTTAATATATAAAGGCTGAGTAAATTACGTAATCAAATCGATGTTCTTTCTTATACACAAAAATTTCGTAAATTGATATCAAATTTAAGCTTTTGGGCCTTTGATCAATCTTTATATTTTTAATTTTTTGGGTATTTAGTTATATTCTTGTGTTATTTATTACAGTCATAAATATACTGAAAAACTCAATAATTAATTTTTCAAAATTTTTTATTCATAAATTTGTTCAAAGATAAGGAAAATCTAGTTCAAAGTAGCGATTATAAAATTTTTTTGAGATTGCAAACTTAAAAGATAGGTTAAGGCTGCTTCTTTTTAAGAAAAAAATTATAAATTTTTTATCAAATACATTTAATAGCTTCCTTAAAAACATTATTTACTTTTCAGATTAAAAATATATTGTATACCAATATCTATAAATTAATAGTTAACTTGATATAAATTAAATAGAAAATAAAGTTAAAATATTTTTACTTTTTTTTATTAGAAAAAAAGAAAATGAAGATTAACTAATATAGAGTCATTATATTATAGAATTAATTTTCGAATACAAAAGTAAAGGATAATAAGGTTGCATATCTGCATTTCTATAGATGCATCACAAAATGGAAAAAATTTTAATTACATAAGTAGATAAAAATATATTGGGGAATAAATTAGCATGATAATGATCAATGTTTAATTTTTATCGTGTGATGCAATAATTTCTTGTTAATTTTTAGAATCCTTTTACATTTTTCTGAATATATGAGATAGATTTTTTTTATAATATAAAATATTTTAAAATCAATTTATGTATTCTAATCCAATAAAACTAGGTTAATCTTTACAAAAACTTGATATGAAATTGAATTACTTAAGTATTATTATTTCTTCAATATTTCAGATTTCTGGTTTTTCTCTATTTTAGAGGGAAAAGACTATATAATTTGACCATATATTTGTATTAAGAAGTAAAATTGAATTTATATTATTATTATGATTTTAATTTATTTTCTTAATGTTTTCAATCATTTGATCAAAGTTTCATATATATTAACCTTAATACAATCGAAACAAGAAAAATAGATTTAAAATAATAGAAGTATATCTAATTATTTGATGTATAAAAATTTTAAAGATGAAAAATAGCATTTTAAATTTAATTGTTTTAATATGATTGTTGCAATAAAGTGATTTGTTTGTCTCCATCAAATTAAAAAAAAACAAAAATAGAACAATATTTTTGTTAATAAATACCTAAATTTAAAGAATAGAAAGAAAATTTTTGGTAGCAAAAAATGAATTAATTGATTTAAAAAATATAAATTTTATCTATTATCATGACATCAAGTTCAGAATCAATACAGTTTAGTAACTCAGATAAGGAAGATAGTTTTGAGCAGCCTCTTATAAAAAAGGCGGTTAAGGAAATAGATAAAGAAGAGCCTGGATAAATAAAAATGGAAATTGAATGTGATAATTTAACACAAAACTAAAAAGTGCAATAAGTCTAATAAAATAATTAATTTTATGAGAAAGCAAAGAATTATGAAAATGGATAATTATTATAACAAGAGAAGGATATTCTTACAGCAAAAGATTATTATAATTAACAATAAATGAACACATTCACAGGTCGTAAAATTAGTAGATTATATTATCTAAGAAATTTTTAAAATTGGGTTAAGGCAGTTTTAATAAATGAATATAGTACTGCAGTTAGATAAAATTTTACTGATAAGAGAAATGTAATTAATTAGAATTAAGATTAAGTTATTAAATGTATTTGAATTAGGATGTGGAAAGGGTGGTGATATGTAAAAATGGAGTAAAGCAGGGACAGGTCTTTGGTTTGGAATAGATATTTCGAGTGAAAGTTTAAAAGAAGCAGAAAGAAGGCATAAAACTTAAAAAGAAGATAGAAAGAAGTAAATATAAAAAATATATTTGATGGAAACAAAAGCAGATTCAGATTCTACTTTATTTAGATCAAGATTGCCTTAGGATGTATATTTTGATTTTGTAAGTATGTAATTTATGGCAAATCTTCTATTTTCATCTGAATAAGCAGTAGAAAATATGTTTGAAGTATATTTAATCGATAATAAACAAGAATATTACATGTAGATTAACCAATTAAGGAATCGTATTGATGACTATTACTGATGCTAATGTTATTGTAAAAAAAATGAGAGAGTTTTCAGTCAAAGACACAGATGGAAATTATATTTATTCAAAGAATTAATATTGTTCATTAAAATTTGAGAGTTTATAATTTCCTAAAAATAAACCATTTGGATAATAATATCTTTTTTATTTGGAAGAATCTGTTGGAATTAAAGAAGGAAACTAAATTAAATATGTTCCTGAATATTTAATAGAATTACAAGCATTTGAAGAAAAAGCTAAAGAATACAATTTAGAAATAGTTGAGAATTTGAACTTTATTGATTTCTTTGAAAAATATAAGTAGAAACATTCTGATTTACTAAAGATAATGGTAAAACCTCCAAGTGATGATTGGTAAGTATAAATTTAATCAATAGGAAGATGCCAATGGATTAATGGGAAATAGCTCATCTTTATAGAGTGGTTATTTTGAGACATTTAAAAGGATAAGCATAGTCTAAAATTAGAAGACATCCACATTTAAATGAATTACCTGATTGTGCACTTGAATTAGAAAATGAATGATATATCATATTATTATATTGAGATTATAATCAAAGCCAAAATGAATAAACAATATAGTTTATTTTCATAGATTAAAGATAATATTTTGTTAATATTTGGTGAAAATTAGATCACTTTAATTTAAATTATGAGAATTAGCTATTCTATCAACTTGTATGATTTAAACAGCAATTGTTGAATTATTGTATATTCTATTTTATAAATTAAATAATGTATAATTAATTAGAAAATAAATATATTTAAATAGAATGAGAGTTATATTTCATAATCTTAACTTTGCTATTTGGGTATATAAACCAAAATCTGTAGATAAATTAATAAAGCATCTATCAGTATAATTCAGGTTATTATAATTAGTAATCAATTCATATTTAAGGGTTATTAGTTAAAATGTTGATTGAATAATCATAAATTAACTAAATCAATTTAGAACATATTGGTCTTTTATCTCTAGTTTTGAAATATTCTCTCAACTTTTTATGCATTGTAACATAAAACCTCTCTCATCAATATATTATTTAAACTTATCTGTTAATTTAAAAATTATATATCTCTAATATTCCATTTCATTTATCCACTTTCAAATAGACAAACTTTTTTTCACTATAATTTCAAAACATCTTTAATTATTCTTTTCTGCTCATTAGCATAAATAAAGAAATTAATCTATTTAATTAATAGAAAATTATTTAGATCATTTTTGAGTCATAAAGCCAGTAAAATAGATAAATGTTTCAATGATCTATTTACTTATGGCGTAGTTTTTCAACTCTTTAAATTGGGATAATATTTTAATATATATTAATAATATGGGAAATAAATCACAAAAATATGAAACAAAGGATTCTTCTCAATTACTCATAAGTATATTTTCTATTCAAATCAGGCTAATTTTCGAAGACTTTGGATTCGTCACAAGTTGAAAATTCAAAAATATTAGTTTACGAAAATAAATAATCATAATGTTGCACTTGCTTTGGGCTAATCAAAACTTAAGTTGTTGAAATTAAACTTTTTTGGGTTGATTACACCCAAAGAAAATTAAATTAAGGGGATTTTAAACATTATGCATGGGCAGATTTAATAAAATTAAGTTTATAGAACATAGATATAAATAATTTTGAAGATCAATAATAAATCTTTTTAAATACAATAAAAATGATTATAAGTAGCTATGAATCCAATTCTTACTTTGATTAAAACTAAATTTCTAATCATTTTGAATAAATAAAAATTAATATCTTTGAGTATTACGAAGAAGAGGCTAATACAATTTTCGAAGATAGAAAAAAATCACGAAAAAATGAGAAATAATTCTTTAAAGAAGTAATGGGAGTAATAAACTAATAAATTAAAATTGCTAATCATCCATGTGGATTAATTTTATAAATTTTTTAAAATTATATTGTTGATTATGCTGGATCTTAAGTTTGGTTTAGAGATTCATTTAGAAGAGATAAATATAAGGATTAATTAATCAAGAGTACTGAACTTTGTGATGAAATCATAGCATTTCTTAAATTCTTTGTAAATTGTATTGACAGTTACTATACAATTGACTAATTCATCAAATAAACTCAATTATTAAATTGCTTTACCGGAATAAATTAAATAGCATTTGTAATCAATATACTATTTTTGGACGAACGAATTTATTTTAAAATTTTAAAGGGTTTCTCTGAACTTTATTCATGTGAAAACTACAAATATTAATCCAACTTAAATCTGTTAAGACATTATAATATTGAAGATTTTGAAGTTCATAAGTTATTATAATTAAATTCAGATTTTAATATATCACATTAACACTAAATATAATTTTCTGATTTTGGAGACTTAATTTAACCTTATTAATCAGCAATTGATGTTTTAAAATAGTTAGAGTATATTAAATCACCAACAAATTAATTGAAAGTCATATCTTAGACTTTCTAAGAAATCAATAATTGCATAAAAGAATATTATGAAAATCATCCTGAACTTGAAGCTTTAGAGAGCTATGGTACGGATGATATTGTTCCTATTTTAACATATTTAATTGTTAAATGTAATATAAAAAATTTTGGAATCATTTTAAAAGTATTTTTAATATTTTATTAGATTATTGAAGCATTTACACCAAAACAAATTATGACTGGAATACTTGGATATTACTTAGTGACTACATAAGGTTGTTATATGAGAATTTGTCAATATGGAAAATATGAGGAGGGTAGTAATACTATTTAAAAGTCTAAATCAGATGTCTACAATTAAAATTGAGAGCACTTTAAATAGAAAATTTTAAGTTCTGATTAATTTTATGTCTGATATTATTTAGGATGAAAATACTATTTATTATATATTAATCTAAAATAACATTATCATCTTCTTCAATAATTATTTTTTATTAATTTAACATACTCAAAAATAAAAACGATTAGAGATGTATAAATTTTTACAATTACCATTTAAATAAAAACTTCAATATAAAAATGCATATTATAAGTAAATAGCTTAGTTGAAAGAGTTAAATTTTTGGGAAGCAAAATAATAATGAAAAATATATTAAACTTAATTATAATTTAATTATTAATGGGTTGCTGTAAATCCTTTCCAAATGGTTGTTGCTCTTCGAAATCTTTAGAAAACTAAACAAACTCAATAATTCCTAAAGAAACTTTAGATTAATTATAAAATGAATTCATTTAAAGTATAGTAAATCTTGATGCAAATGGTAATTTCAATAAAGAAAAGGAAATAAGTTTTCCAATAAAAAATACTTCATATTCAAAAGATATAACAGATGTAGAAATAAAATAAGAGTATATGAAAACTAGTTCTAAACAATGGAATATAAAACAAACAATGTTTGTAAGAGTGAATTCTAAAAAAAACATAAATGATTCATATTTGATAAAAGAAATGATTGGATAAGGAGGATTTGGTAAAGTCTATAAAGTAGTTCATAAATAAACTGGTAAGTAGAATCAAGACCTCTAACTTAGGAATGATAAGGGCCTTGAAAATGATATTGAAAGAGAATATGAAAAAAGAAGATGAAGAAAGGTTATTATAAGAAACAGGAATTTTAATGGACATAGATCATCCAAATATAGTAAAATTATATGAGATATTCTCTGACACATACAGTTATTATTTGGTTAGTGAATATTGTGAAGGGGGAGAATTATTTGAAAAAATTAAACTTGTTTCAATATTAACAGAGAAATAGATTGCCAATTTTATGAAATAAATATTATCGGCTGTTTCTTATTGTCATTAAAAAGGAATTGTACATAGAGATCTAAAACCAGAAAACATTTTATTTGATTAAAAACATGATCAAGCATCTATTAAAATTATAGATTTTGGTGCAAGTGCTAAGCTATAGAATTTTGAGAAACTTCAAAAAAGAATAGGAACTGTATTCTATTTTTAATTTTTTAGCCTTTTTATGTTGCTCCTGAAGTACTTGACGCAAATTATGATGAAAAATGTGACATATGGTCACTTGGAGTAATTTTGTATATACTCTTAAGTGGATATCCACCATTTATGGGATTAAATGAGTAAGAAGTTCTTGTAAAAGTAAAAAAAGGTGAATATGTTTTTGATCCAAATGATTGGGGCAAAGTATCAAACACTGGGAAAGATTTAATTAGAAGAATGTTAATGTACAATCCTGTCATTAGAATTTCAGCAGCTGAGGCTATAAATCATGAATGGATCAAAAATAATAAAGCAAAAGGATAAATTAACAGCTTGACCCTTAGTAAATTATAAGATTTTGATTCAAAAAATAAACTTAAATATGCAATTTTTTAATTTATTACAGTGCAGGTTGTAACAAATTAAGAAAAGGATGATTTACTCAAAATATTTTAAGAAATAGATAAAAATGGAGATGGAACTGTTAGTAAAGAAGAGTTATATTAAGGTAAAATATAAATTGATGTATAGCCTACTTAAAAATTCACAAGGGAGATAAATTAGCTGCTTAGACCATTGTGGAAGAACTATTTCCTTAATTAGATGCAAATGGATCTGGAATTGTGGATTTCAGTGAATTTATAACTGCAACTATAAATAAAGAAAAATCATTAAGCAGATAAAGAATTGAATAATCTTTTAAATTGTTTGATTTAGATGGCAATGGATTGATTACTAAACAAGAACTTAATGAGTTATTCGATGAAGAAATAGATGAAGAAATGTGGTAAGAAATATTAGATTAATGTGATAATGATAATGATGGAATGGTAATTATATTATATAAATAATTAGATAAACCTCAATGAATTTATTAATCTGCTTGAGAATAAAATATCAAAAAATCAAATATTTAAATCATGAATTTAATTTGACTATAAAATTTTATATTTATGTTGCAGACACTAAACTTATATATACTTATTAGACCCATTTATAATGTATAATATTATAGTGTAAATTTATGGTTGATAATCTTTAATATTAATCAGTTTTTTGAGCTCCTGTTCATTATTATTTAGCTTAAGCTTTTTCTGGGTTATTTTAAAGTAGGTAGTTAGCTATAAATTCAATAGCATTTGGTGGTCTATTTTTATAAAACTTAATTACCTAACTTTAGCAACTTCAGTCATTGCTTACAAAAGAATAGGGACAACAGTTTAATCCAAATAATTTCGAATAGGAAGAGCCTGTAATTGTCTTATTTTCTACTTTATAATGATTTATTTACTTCTTCTTCGCTTTACATGAATTTATATATTTTTAAAATTTATATTAATATTTTTAAATTTCGATATTGTAATATAAATTTATTATTATTAGTAATAAAGTCATCTAAGCTAATTTAAATTTCAAAATTATACTTTCTTAGTGATGGTTTCTAAATTACAAAAGAAATCATATATCTTAAATTAAAATTTGAGATCAAAATAGAGTTATTAGTTTTTATAAATAAGATCATTTATCTTAAATGTTGATTTTGAACCAAAAAGAGAATTTTGCAAATTCCTCTAATATATTTTTTAAAGGATGTAATAAAAATAATGTTAGATTTGGTAAGTGGGATTATATAGTTAAAGGGGAATCTATGTAAATATTTTCTAAAATAATTAGGTTTGGAGGAAATTATAATGAGAGAGGTTAAAAAGATGGAAAATGGATTGAACCAGATTTGGATAATGAGGAAAAGTAAAATTAAATGATTAAAAGCAAAAGTTATATTACATTTTAAGGAGAATATAGAGCAGATATTAAAATAGGAATATGGAATACCTTTATTAGACGAGATTTAATGTAACAAATTAATTAATAATAGTGGAGGAGGATTTTATAATGAAAAAGGAAGAAAACATGGGATGTGGATAGAACATCAAAAGAAAACAGCTTTTAAGTATAGATAATGATAATCAGTTTCCTATTATTGTACAAAGGTAAATATGAAGAAGGTAAAAAAGTAAATTAATGGGAATGGAGTTTAGATTCAGAAGTGATGTAATTTGATGTTAATTTATATATAGTGGTCAAGGTAAATACAAAAATAATGGTGAAAAAAATTAATTTTGGATAGAATTAAATGAAAATTATTCAAGATTGTATATATTATTCATATTATAAGATGTAATCTTAAATCCTAAGGATCTTATAAAAATGGAATGAGAATAGGAGATTGGAAAATAGTTGATGATGATAAAGTTATGTAATTTTCTTAATTTATTTGATTAGTGGAGGAGGAAGATATTCTGGTGAATTCAAAAAAATTGGGATTTGGAAAGAACCATTTGGAAATTATAATATATTGTAAATTTAATATTTTTATTTAGGGAGCCTGCATTATTTGAGGGAAATTATCAGAATGATATTAGAGTGGATTAATGGAAGATTATTCTAAACGAAATGATAATGTAAAAAAAATTAATTAGAATAAGTGGGGGAGGAAATTATGATAAAAATGGGTAAAAGTAAGGAGATTGGATGGATGTGAGAATGATTAATATTTATAAGTATAATTTTGAATTGATGGGAGATATTTAACAATGAGAGGATAATATTATTAAGGTTTAAGAATATTAAAATGGAATTATAAGATGAATGATTTATCATTGTAATACTGATTTTATATTTCAATATAATTAGTTAAGGTATGTATAATGATAATGGAGAAAAGATGGATTATTGGATAGATTTTGATGAAAAATATAATGAAAAGTATTAAAAGTGATATTTAAAAGTGATATAATACTGACAGGCAAATATAAATATGGAATAAGAATTGGAGTGTGGAAGTTACAATAAAATAATAAAATCATGTATACAAAAAGCAATAAATTTTGAAGTGGTCATGGTCTTTATAATGAAGAAGGTAAAAAATTTGGACTTTGGAAAGAGTTGCATCCAAATTATTCAGAAATGTAAGTATTAAATAAAAGGTAGGTGTCAATTGATAATGAAAGGGGAATATAAAAATGGTATAAAAATTGGATATTGGTAAATTCTAACTTAAAATTAGAATAAACTAATGTAATTTTATATAATATCAATAGTGGTGGTGGTTCATTTAATATATAAGGTGAATAATTTGGAAAATGGATAGAACTTCATAAATAATATTCAAAATAGTTATTTACTTATTTTTTAGTATAGTCGTTAAGTTGTGAGTATAGGATATTATGAGAATGGAATAAGAATTGGAGGATGGGAAGATATTTATATGAATAAAATAATGTATTTATTAATTGAAAATGATAGAAATTATCATTATTACGATAGGGATGGAATACGTAGAAGGATTGAGATAAAACAATGAAATATATTAGATGAGTGGGATATAGTAGAATTTAAATATTATAATTGAATAATATATTTAGATTTCAAACATATGTTAGAAATGTATTGTCATCTTGTTTATGGTTTACTTTTTATTTTGGTTTAATGTCTAATGTTTTCTACTTCAAGATCCTTTGATCATCTTAATTTAGTTTAGAGGCAATTTCAAAGGATCGTTTCATCTGATTATATATGAGCATACTTATTTCAGATCTCTTTGATAGGAACAATAAATAATTTTCCTTTGTTTATCAAAATTCTAATCCTCTTTTTTCTTTGTTTTAGGAAATGGCTCTGTTTTTTTTGTAGATTCTATCTTTGGTAAAGCTAAGCTTTTGCTTCTAGAATGTTTTTTTTGAAACTCTTAGAAATTCATTTCTTGAAAGTAAAATTCTCTTTCAGCTGACAAACCTACTCATTTAAATATCTAACCATTTTTATTCTTAAAGTCTTTATTTCCATCTAAAATTGTAATCACAAGCATATTTTGCTTTGCCTTATAATTGTTTTTATTTTTGCAGAGTATATTTTTCAATTCTTTCTGTAAGTTAATCATACAAATATTCTAAATTAGCTTCTTGTTGATAAAACAGTTCTTAATATCTAGAGCGTGCATTGTTAACATATTCATCACTAGTTTTCATTTTACGTTCTAAATTAAAATTAACAACAATACTTAAGGAAACTTTTTTTTCATTATTTGTTGGTATTATGAAAGCAAGTTCTGTATTACAAACAATAGGGCGCATTTTAATAATTTATAGTTTAAGATGAGGAGATTTCTTCATTAATTAATTATAAACTTAGTAATAATTGTAATCAATTAATCCATTTATTGCTGCATGGTAGGATATGGATAATATTCATTCATAACACCAAAACCATAATTTTCAGGTTCTTCTTGAATGTTATTTTGAATATTATTTACTATTAGTTTTTACTTTAACCTAAGATTAAATAATTCATTTTAGGAGATCAAAAGTTCAATATTGCTACGCTAATTCATACTTTATTATTTTTAGAAATTAAATTGATCAGTGATACTTCTTTTAACAAAATTAGAGGAGCTTTTTTTAGAATCTTTAGATTGCATCATAGCAACTTTGGGACTATCTTATTCATCCTCAGATTCAATGGGTTAAAATTATTAAGTTTAAGCATTTAATTTCATTTTTTTATTAAAAGTTTTTTTGCTTTCTTCTTCCTTTTTAATTATCTCTTGCCAATCAAAAATAGTATCATCATATTTCATTTTATGCATTAATCCTTTTAGTAATTTTTTTAAATAACTATAAGAAGGTTCTGTGTCATATGAGACATTAAAAATATAATTAAAATATCCTTCAAATTCTCTAGGTAATCCATAACTAAATAAATTATTGATATATATAATACCATAAAGACATAGGTGTTTCTCTCATCTTCTTTTATCCGATTAAATAGAAGCGTTCTTCTTTAGTTTATGCTTCGACTTTCATCCAAGGTAAGAAACCTTTAAGAAAGAATATTGCCAAATATCCTAAAGATTCTAAGTCACTTGCTCTGCTTTAGCTAAATCCTTAATGAGAACAGATTGGTGTAAAACGAGCAGTTCCTACTAATGGTTATCCTTTTAATTTCGGTAAAAGTTTTTTTTGAGAATCATATAGAGGTGCATTGAGTCCAAAATCAATTAAATAGATAAGATTTTCATTTGGTGGAATTCCTGTCATAAAATTCTCTGGCTTAATGTCTCTGTGAATATACTAGGATACTTTATCTCAATTAATTATTTACCCCTTAAGAATGGAGATATTCTAATCGACTAATTGCTTGGTCCATAAAGAGAAGCACTGTTTTTAAAGAAAATTTATGGTTGCATAAACTATATAATTCATCAAGATTTTTTCCTATATTATTGATAATTAAAGGATACCTAATAAGGTTTCAACAAGTACTCTTTAAGTTTAATCTTCAATATAATAGTATAATCTTGGAATTCCCTTTTCTCCATTTAATTTTTTGAGAATTTCAGCTTCTAATCTTAATGTCTCTCCCTTTTTTAATCGATGTTCTTAAGCTTCAATTTTAACAGCATAATAATCTTGCTTAATTTAATGTATAGCCTTATAGACTTTACCAAAAGATCCTTCATTAATTTTGGAAACGATAAGGTAATTTTTACAAACAACTTTTCCCAATAATGAATCAAGTGGTACTTTTAAAGAATGATTAGTATTCATTTATGAATTACATTAAGATTAAAATGCCATTATATTATTAATTATTTTTAAAACAAATTTATTGAATTTCATTCATTCTTGGGTTGTTCTACAATCTCGAATTATTCAGGTTATGGATCCTTTTTTTGAATATCATTAAACTTATCTTTTAAAAATTTCCAAGCTGAAAGTGTTCCATCTTTAACAGTTTCATATCCTTTTTCAGCAGCTATTTTAGTTTTTTCCTAGAATAGGATAGAAAGTATACAGCTATTTAATTAGTTTTTTAAGAGAAATCAGTTTTGAATTGAGTTAATTTCTATTAAAATTCTTCATCATTATATTTATCTTCTATTTTTTTCTTTGCTTCTTTAGCAGCTTCAGTTGTTTTCTAGAATCCTACAGTAAAAAAAGACTTCATCTTATCAAGAGGATCATCTTCTTCTGGTTTCATTTGCATAGGTTAATACTATTGTTATTGTTGTTGTTATTATTATTATTATTCTCCTTTTTGAAGTAGAGGATTTGAATTTGATTTAGCTAATTAAGGATCCTCTTATAAAGCTTCTTCTATTGGAATAGGTTATGGAGCCTCTCTTTCTTCAGTCTTAGCTTTAATCTAAAAGTTAAATAATATCAGAATTACACATTCTCTATAATAGGATGCTCCTTTAGTTCTATATTTCCATGAAATGTCATGTTGTTTAGATGGATCAGCATAAACACCAATAGATGTAAAGTATTCTTTTAGTTTATCATTTCCACCCATCATTATCATTTTTAATTGTTTATCTGACCAACTATCTAAATTTGTAGATCTAACAAAGGACACATGTACACCAAGACTACGATGTATTCCAGAACAAGGTAAACAAAGAAATACAGAGTTTGGTAAACTAACCCAAGTAGGATTAGGAGAACCACATTCAAAGCATTCTCTATTCAAAACGGAGTCTTATTGCATTTTTTAAAAAGCTTAGGTTGTGATCAATGAATTAATCATTTATAATATTATCAATTTTTTTTAATTCCTTTTCTTCTCTCTTCATCTTCTTATTATTTAATTCTCTAATGTATATAATAATGGCATTTCTTATATTTCTTCCCTGAATTACAGAAACATTATTTATTCCCTAACTTACTTAATTTAGCCATCATTTATTCCATTGATAATCCTTCAAAATCCTTTGATATCTTCTCATCATCTTCATCACTTAGATCTTCTTTTCTCTTCACACCCCCCATATTATACATATTAGCTACATCTTCTTCAGTCATCTATCCCATTAATTTCTTATATCCTTTATTAAATATGCTGTATGCACTTAATGATCCTTTCTCTCTTGTTCCCAAATTAGAGAATATTAGCACAAATCCTGTCACTATTACATACAATCCTTGTATAGAATATACTATTGATATCTCTCATATTATATTATCAATCTTACTCTTCCACCAATCAACCATAATATACTATACACCAAGTACTTCAATACACTCCATTAACAATATCTTTTCAATAGGTGTTTATAGTATTTAGAACGATCTTTAAATTCTGATGAATCTACCAGTTCTACTTTGTACATATAATAATAATTATCATATATTGCTAAATTTCAGTATTCGACTAATAGTATCCTTTAGTTCTGCTTCATCCTTCGTTTAGAAATATAACTCAAATGCTCCCTTCAAAATTGGCTCATCTTGATTAATGTTTCTTAGTAAATATGTTAACTATTAATCAATTATTATTATTTCTTTACATCTGTTTTTGATCTTCCCAATTCTATTAAATTTGCTTTCAATATGCTCTTTACATTTGATTTCAAAATGTAATTGTATATTAGCTATATATTTTCTACTAAATCCTACTTATCTAAATTAAAATCATAAACTTCTAATGAAGATTTTATCATAATATTATCTTTATCTATTGCATCCATCAATAAATCAATTTGTTTTATCTTAGATTTCAAAAATTTTGCACAAATATCTTTTATTAAATCCTTATGTTAATTATTTTGATCAATTTTTTTCATATAGGGATCCATTGACTAATTGTCTTTCTGCTTTTCAATTTGACTATTTGCAAAATCTGATAGTTTTTAAATGAATACTCTTTAATCTCTCTATCTAAGAAAATCTCTAAAGAGTTTCAATAAAGTATTATCACATGATATCAGATTCTAAGTATATTATTTGATTTTTTACTTATTCCAAAGCTAATCTTTATTCCTAATTCAGACATCTTCTATAGGCAAATAGAATAGTCAATTATTATTCAATTAAACTATCGAATTGTTCAATTTCATTAAAATCAAATCTAGCTGAGGATGAATATACCTTAAATATAAGATTTAAAGTATTTAAAAACTCATCTTATTCTTTGGTTTCACAATATACTTCATAAGCTGCCATAACAGACATATCTTCAATTGAATATAAATAATAAAAAGCTTTTGCTTATCTTAAAGTAATGACTTTATCGATTTCATATAAAAAATTAATGATAAATTTGAAATTTTAATATTTATGCATTTTTGGTTCAATTACAGCACCATGAGTAGGTGAAGGAATATCATCAATTTTTTTATTTTACAAAGTCAATAAATCATTAATATCCGATTTAATTGAATCTATATCATATCTTTATCCATATTTATCTAGTATTTCTAATAATCTTTAATTTTAAGCTGTATAGAATCTATGTAATTTAGCTTTTTCATGTTCATCACAAAATTTACTACATTAATCATAAACAGTCATAAAGAGTTTCTCATAATCTTCATTACTGTATTTTTATAATACTTTAACATGATATTTATCAATAAAATTAATTTCTTTCTTATTTTCTAATAATTAGGAATCCACACTTAACTTACGTTCTTCTTTTTAATTGGTTTCAGGTAAATTCAAATGGAAATGAAATTTTTCATCATGACTATCTTTTCTTCTTTTATGCATTAAATAATATGAATAGCTGTTTTCTTCTCTCAATTATTATTCTAATTATCCAACATTGTCTTTCAATAGCAAAAATAAATCTTATAATTAACCAGTTTATGCAAATCTTTGAAAACCTTCATAAATAGGATTTTATTTATTAGAATATTCAGATAGAAAGTACTCAATTTAATGAGAATTGAAATTTTTGGTGATTTCTTATTGAAATTGACTTTATAAATATTGTCTAACAATTTAGAGTAAAACCTTATTAAAATAGTATGTTATTATTATACATCTTATGGATAATCGATAAGAGATTTGACTAATTCATCTAAATCATTATCCATTCTTAAATCTCTCAACATTCCAGATTCAATAGAATCTAAATCTCCAGAGTTAAGTAATTAATCAATAATAGTGACAGATGATCTTAGACCTGGAGTTGGATTACAATCATAAGGGAAATTGACTGATTGATGAAAATCACTACGACTAGGACTGGTTATGAATTTTAGATTGTTTTAACTATTAAACAAACGATTACATTTTTACAATGAAAGATTGTTATTATCATCTTAAGGTAAGAGTAATTTAAGATTTCTAATGAAATTTTCATCATCTTGTTATTTTTGAAATAATTGATATGCAGCAAAGACTGATTAATCTTAGCCTATAATTAATCCTAAAAGGTATTCATATTCTCTGGATTCAAATCGATTTCTAAATTTGTCTACAGCCTTTTTTACCCTCATTACACTTATTAACACAAATTATACTACCCATGTGTTCTTTTGCCTTGACTAGAATGGAAATTATCATTAGCTTCGACTTATAAAATCTATTTTTCATTTCCTCTAGTAACAATCAATGGAATATTATTATTTGCTGTATTACTATTTGGAGTAGCAAAACTACCCTATAAAACAGGTTCAGGTTCTTCTTCTTCACATAATAATTGCTCAATCTAATAACATACATCTTCAGCTATTGAATGATTAATCTTCATTTCCATTTCATGTTTAAGAATTTAATTTTCAAAAACCGTTAATAACAATGAATCTGTTTCCTCTTCTTCCACAACTGTGTAATAAGCTTAGAGAAATCCAAATGCTTTATAAATTCTCATCACTATAGGTTAACCAAAAAGACCAGCTTAATATTCATTATCAAATACAAGCACTATTGTTAAAACTGGATGTTAAGGACTAGATAATTTATCATTCCTACCTAAATCGTATTTATTGAATTTCTTGTAAGAATGCTATAAAATCGACAAAATAACAAGGTTCTTCATTTGTTGTTTATACTCTCGAATTCTTACTTTTATGAGACTTTCTACTTTATCTATCCATTTTCCTTTATTCTGTTAAGATTATATAAAATTTATCCTTATGAGCATGTAGATTATTACAGAAATAATGCAAATCACAAATATTTCCTATCATATTATTACATTTACCTTACGCATCTTGTAGTGCTGTTATGCTCTTATCAACTTAAAATGCTGAACGTATTAAACGACAAAAAGATGAGACATCCAAATTTGAAACAAAGAATGATTTTTACTCTCCGTCCAATGAAAATATAAAATTATGCTTTCCTTACATCAAATATATTTATTTCGATAAAAATATTATTGTTAAATATAAATAATTATTATTAATTGTCACACTAAAATAATTCTAATTCAATAATCAAATTATATAAATATATATAAATGTAATAAAAAGCAAAACAATTCTTTGCTACCTATGGTAAATTGGGATTGACTGTTTATTTTTCAATTTCATTAGCTAATTATGGAATTGTCTATTTTGCATTGAAGTAAGGCATAGATTTCAAATAAATTGGATCAAAGTATTGTCTTCTATTTATATATTAAGATTAGGATGTGATACAACTTAGGGTAAATGGGAATAGATTGAAACCTTTGGTACACCAACAGCTGCGTATATTATTTACAAATTAATGGCACCAATCAAATGGCCAGTAGTAATAGGAACTACAGCATGGATATGTAGAAGAGGAAAAAAATGAGTGATTGATTATTAAATAAATTGCAAAGAATTTTGAATATAAAATTGTCAATGAATCCATAATATCAATATGACATATTTGTTATAGGTGGAGGTTCAGGTGGTCTGACAGTTGTTGATGAAGCTTAAAAGTTAGGTAAACGAGTAGGATTAGCTGATTATATCAAACCTAGTCCACATGGAACATAATGGGGAACTGGAGGAACATGTCCTAATGTTGGATGCATTCCTAAAAAATTAATGCATATGACAGCATTGATTGGAGAAATAAGACATGAATTAACAGCCACTGGTTGGTAAGGTATCAATCCTCATTCAAATCATGATTGGAATACTTTAGTCAATGAAGTATAAAGACAAGTTAAAGGAATCAATAAAGCTAATGATGATTGGTTGGTCACTACTAATGGAATTACATATTATAATAAATTAGGTATATACATATATATATGTATATCATAGGTAAATTAAAGGATGATCATACTATTGAACTTATAGATAAAGATGGTTAATTTGAATTTGTAACTGCAGAATATATATTGTAGATACTTTTCTTTTAATTTTATTATTTATTAATAATAATAATTATTATTATTATATAAATATTACCTAATTTACCACCTATCAGATACATTAATTAAAGAATTTGGATCCTTTTAAGTTTTTAGCAATATTTAGATTCAAAATATATTGCATCTAATACTTGATTTTGATTAATTTAAGATATTACCTCTTAATAATCATAATAAAGTATACTAAAAATATTACATAAAAAAATGAATCTAGACCCATTTTTCTCTTAAGTCCAATATATAAGTTACTTGAATTTAGAATTGAATAGAAATTAAATGATTATTTCTCTTCTTAGATAATAAAAGAATAATTTAAATAATTAAATGGTATGAAACTTAACCATAAATATATAAACTAATTTAAACAATTAAAAGTTTTAGAAGACATTAAAATAAAGTTCCTTGATTTTAAATCACCATATAACACAGCTAATTTAGAAATATTGTTTCAATACATAAGAATTAATTCAATACTTGATTAATAAGAATAAGATTTTTTAGAAGCATTAATTTCTCATTAAAATATAATCTACAATAATTAGAAAATAAGTTTTAAAAATGGAGTACCTTAAGGCAGTATTCTATCACCGATTTATTTAATATTTATTCAGATTTATTAATGATAACTTTGAAAACATAAAATATAGTATATGCTGATGATTTAGCTTTTATATGTTCAAAAAATCATATTGAATAACTAATAAACGACCTTTATAATTAACTTAATAATTTAATCTCATTATTAATCCATTTAAATGTGGAATAATAAACAAAAAAGATGGAAAAAATTACAATTCCTCTAAACAATGTTTATTAAATATACCAATAACAAAATAATATAAAAATCTAGGAAAGATTATCGATGGTAAAAGATCAATTAAAGTTCACTTGAATAAATTTTAAAAAAGAAAGAAATGCCTTAAATATGAATTCTTAAAATCTCAAATAATTATTAAATAGGTAATTAATTTTTATTATGGACACTTTATGTTAAACCTTTTTTCTCATATATTAAACTTGTAAAGTTTAAAAAGATATCTTATAATAAAAAAAAATTAAGATTAATATTTCAAGTATTTAAAATTACTTTAAAATATTCGTTAAGCGTTTTCATTACCCATAAAATACTGTTCAATACATAAGCAATAGATTTAGTATGAACATTAAAAAAATTACCAAAATACTCAATTTATGGAGGAGGTTAATTAAGTATTAGAAAAAGAATATGATAAAAATTGCAAAGATAATTTCAGATAAAAATTCAAATTTTACTTGAATTTGCTGGAGATTTTATATTTAGGAAAAAATGATGAAATTTAGTAATTTGATCTGTTTGTTTGGTATCAATATTATTATTA